ACCCAGGGCCCTGCTCTCCATAGTCCAAAAAAGGCATGGCACACTGCCCTCTAGTAGCCAGCCTAGCAAATAACAAGTACAAACTAGACAGGTGCTGGGTTTCTTCCTGGAAGGATGTGCTGTTCTCACACTTTAAGGAAGAGAAACTGGAGGGGGGGGGGGGGCGGGATTGATACGCTGTTACCAAGGACTACTAAACAGAGCTGGAAGAATTCCTCTGCTTCCCCTACACATCAGTCTCTGCTTGAAAACATACAATAGACTGCTTTGTAAAGGAAAAAACAAAGTAATTTAAGTTTTTAAAGCACCTATGCCTAAAGCCAGTGAACATGTTCCTAAGAAACAGCTAAATCCTGAACCCATAATGGAATCAAAACCTAGCAGTGCAGAATAAACGTGACAATGGGCTGGGGGTTTAAGGTACTCACTGCCATCTCTATCCAAGGAAAGGGGCGGGCTTACAAAGTAGCTTATAAAAGTATAATCTCAAAAGTAAAAAGAGTAGAATCCATTGTCCAGACCCTATATTCCTTGGGGTCTTTGTTTTTAATTTGCTTTTTATTTTGGAGTAATTTTATATTTACAGAAATTTGTGAAGCCAGAGTATACAGAGTCTTGTATACTCTTTACATGATTCCTCAAATGTTAATATCTTATGGTACCATTGGTCAAAACTAAGAGATTTACACTGCTGTATTTACATGAACTAAACTATAGATATAATTCAGATTTCACCAGTTTCCCCATAAAATGATCTAAGGTTGGGTCTTCAAAAAAAAAAAGTTTCTAGCAAGGAGTCAAAGGATCAAATAAGCAGTACAGCTTAGGAGAAAGAACACCAGATTCTAGTCCCAACTCTGCCACATTCCAACTGTGGAATCTTAGTCTATTTTCTGTGCTGTTAAAGTATTGACTTCTGTCTCAAAGACATTAGTTCTAGACACAACTGCAATTTACATTTTATCTCCTTGCCTAAGCTCATCTGACAACCACGGGCCAGAGGAAGGGAAAAGATATCCCCAACTTGGTAGAGACCTCAGCTGATTTCTCCAGTTAAAGAAATGAATCCGTTTGGGATCTTCAGATCTCAACATTTATTTCAAAAGCCATATATGTCTCAAATGGTGCTGGGGGGCGGGGAGGACGGGGAGCGGGGAATATTGAGAAATATATAAATGGCAGAGACAATAGCTCTCCAACAGCATCCATTTTTTCCCTTCTTCTTGGACACAAAATATATTTATCAGGCTTGTGTTAAAAGGGACCTAAGTGACTAAGTTGCAGTCTCTGGAATATGAGTGGAAGTGTGTACCACATCTAGAGGGGGCCCATGACATCTCCTAAGCAATCCTCCAAGCTCCACTCAGCTTACTGAAATGTTAATGCCCAAAACAATCTTGGAAGCCATGTTGAAGCTGGCACCAGCTTGGTCCCTATATGACTATGGACAGAATCTCAGTCCCACTTCTTCAACCTAACCTAGCTGGATGTTATACGAGTAAGCAGTAGGAAGAAAATTCTCTTGAGAGTCTACCTAGCAGTTTAGCCTACCTACCCTAAGTAATAGAGAGAACTCGTGTCAATTCCATTGCCTGGCTTCTGGAGCTGCACTTGCACCCTCAGGTGCCCAGAACCAAGCTGCCCAAAGGTCTGAGTTCTGGCACACTGCCACTTTACAAGCAGGTCTCCTTGCTTCCCTTTACTTTACCCCTTCTAGTCCCATTCCGATCCTTCCCAAAGACCCTATTCTAATGAGTTAAGGTGCAGATTCTCCTTTAAAAACAAAAATTTTGAGGCTGGGCTGGGGGTGTGGATCTTTGGTAGAACACTTGCCTATCATGTGTGAGACACTGGGTTCATCCCCAGCACCCCCCCGAACGCACACACACACACACACACACACGCACACACACACACAAAACCTTGGCTAATTTTTGCTGTTTTCTTCACCTGGAGTTTCATGTCACTAAGTTCCTAACAGCTTTCATCTGATGTTTTAAAATAATAGCTCATGATGTGCATATATAACACTTTACTTATTAGTTCCCTTAGTGATGGATATCTAAGTTGCCTCTAGCTTCTTGTTATGCAAACTATACATAAACATCCTTACATGTAACTACTTTAGGATTTTTGCAAGTCTCTCTGAAGGATACAGCCAGGAGTGGAACTGTTTATATATATATTTGATATATTAGTTATCTCCTACTTTGCAACAAATTACCTACCCTAAATGCAAATTATCTACTGTAAGTGTTGTAGCATTTTAAAACAGTAACAACTCACAGAATGAGAAAAAGTATTTGCAAATCATATCCTATAAGGGACATATCACCAAAATATATAAAGCTTTTCCCCCACCTCCAGAGCTGGGGAATAAAACCCAGGGCTTCACACATGCTAGGCAAGCATTCTACCACTGAGCTACATACTCAGGTCCCTCTAGAGAATTCTGAACATAAAAGTGTGTATGTACATATTTATGACCTATATATGATCTATATGTGTGTGTATATATAATTGGATTGTCATATATATGAAAAATAGGCAAAGGATTTCAATAAATAAAGATGTTCAATATCATTAGCCATTATGGAAATGAAAACCAAAACAATAATCAGATATACCACTTCACATCCACTAGGATGGCTATGATCAAAAAGACAGGTAATAAAAAGTATTGGCAAGGATATAAATAAACCAGAATTTTCATATACTTCTTCAGAAAAAGTTTGGCAGTTCCTCAAAAAGTTACATGGAGTTACATATGACCCAAAAATTCCATATATATATATATATATATATATATATATCCATGAAAAATGAAAACATACATCTGAAAACTTGTACATGAATTGTTCATGCAGCATTATTCATAATACCCCAAAAATGGGAACAACTTGAATATCCACCAAATAATGTATGGATGAATGAAAAGTGTATTCCATAAAAAAGAACATCATTCAATCATAAAAAGAAAGGAAGCAGACAGACGTGATAACATGGATGAACCTTGAAAACAGTATGCTAAGGGAAAGAAGCCAGACACAAGAGGCCATATATTGTATGATAATTCCATTCACATATTATATGAAAGTCCAGAATAAATGAATCTATAGAGATAGAAAGTAGAGTAGTGGTTGTCCATGTTTGGGGAAGTTGTGGGAAAGTAGGAATTAAATGCTAATAGGGTATTGGGTTTCCTATATCTACCAGGTGATGAAAATAGTTTAAAATTAATTGTGATGGCTGCACAATTCTGAGATACACAAAACCACTGAATCATACTTAAAAGGGATGAATTGCATAGTGGGTAAATTAAATCTCAGTAATGCTGTTTTTTGAAAAAAAAAAAAAATATATATATATATATATACTGTTTCTTTGAGTTAAGAAGATGGACCTAAATGGTTCTGGCTCAGGATTCCTCAGCAGGTTGTGGTCAAGTTGTCAATCAGGGCTAAAAAGAACTGAGGGAATGAGCAGAGCTGGAGGATCCACTTCCAAAGGGGCTCACTCAAATGGATGGCTACTTGGAGCTGACTACAGCTGAAAGACTTCAGTGCCTCTCTACATGGGCCTTTCCAGAGGGTTGTCTGAATGTCTTGACATGGAGCTGACTTGGCTTCCTCTAGACCAAGTGATCCAAGAGAATACAAGGCAGATGCTTTAATGTCTTCCATGACCTAGCTTCATAAGTCACACATTTCCAGTACATCCTATGGGTTGTACAAGTCAGCCCTATTCATTGTGGGAGGGGACTATGCAGAGCTCAAAAACCAGGCAATGATCATGGGAGGCCATCTGGGAAGCTGGCTAGCATATTTGATGGTGATAATGACAGAAATAGCTTAGAATTTTATATTTACTGTGTGCCGGGCACTATTCTATGCTTACATTACACCTATAAAGTAGGTACTATTATCTCTACTTCACAAATGAAGATAGTAAAGCACAGAGAAGTTAAGTGGCTCACCAAAGGTCACCAGCTAACAAATGACATATCTGATATTCAGTTTCGGGCAGTATAGCTCCAGGGCCCTCTCTTAAGAACTGTGCAACGTTGCTTCCTAATATTATTTAATTTTAGTAAATGTTGTCCATTTGAACTCCAAAATGGATACACAAGTTAGATTCCCTGTGAGTTTTCATTCTTTATGAGAGTCATCTATTTTTGCCAAACTAATAGCTATAAAGTAGAAATTTTTAACAAAATTATATGTCTTAATTTGCATTTAGTTAATTACTAGTGAGGTAATATACTTATTAACCATTCTGGATTTCTCTCTTGGTTTTACCTATCCATTTCTTTGCATATTTTTATTTTGTGTTATCTTTTTCTTCATGATTTACACAAGTTCTTTCTATATTTAATTCCTTATATATGCAATCCCTACTCACTTTTAGACATTGCAGATAGCTTCTCCCAATCACTCCCAAATTTAGCTTTGATTGTGGCTGTTTTGCTAAATAGAAACCCTTTTAATTATAAAATAATCAAAGCTATCAGATCTTCAGGATTATGCTTTGGGATCTTATTTAGGAAATCTGTCTTCACCCTAATGTAACACAGACACCCTACTAGCTTTATTTTATTTTTGTTGCTGGGGATCAAACCCAGGGTCTCACACATGCTAGGCAAACCCTCTACTAGCTTTACTAAATTACACTTCATTAGGTCTTTAATTGCTTCAGCATTTATTTTGTTTTATATGGTATGAGGTAGGGATCCAACTTTATTTTTGCACACAACAAGCCAATTTTCTGAGCACCGTTATCCATCTCTTTCCCACTAATTTGTGACACTACCTTTATCACACACCATGTTTCTAATATTTCTGGGTCTAGTTACTAATTTCCTGTTTTCTCAAAAAAAGATGTGTCACTGATAAAGTTACTCACATTACTTTCCAAATTAATGAAAAATCCAACCATTCATTACTCCCAGGGATTCAATATTAGCTGGAATTCTTCCCCAAACATAATACCCAGGTAGGAAATTATTTTTAAAAAAATAAATGTATGTTTATTAAAATAAGAAAAATCCTAGCCAAGAACAAACTCTGGGATATAGAAATCACTGCTTCCATGAAAGCTAGCCACAGAGTGTGTTGACACACCTGAGAAGTCCAGGTGCCTCAGTCCAAAGATCAGGTTTCGAATATTCTTCTGTGGTCAAAACTGGCATTTGACAAGTTGCTGGTCTGTGTGGGCCCTGACTGTGTGCACAGACAGATGTTACAGCTGGATTCTGGCTGTCCTATGCCCACTACCACAATCCACAGCACCCCATCGTGCCTCAGAGAAGTTACATATCCTCAACACTCCATTTGTAGGCAAGTTCTTCCACTGCTTTCTTGCTGGCAAGCCTGGCAAAGCGCTTCTGTTCAAAACCATTGGATCTGAAATCAAAAAAGACATACTCATCACCCAGAACACTGAACTGGACATGTATTTTAAAAGAAAAAGAACAGTTCACAATATAATGAGTAGGAAGGAAAGTAAAGAAGTTATATGAAAACATTTAAGGCATGTGCAAAAGAATCAAACAGACAAAATACACAATTTCTTCTCTTCTTAGTCCTTGTTCAAATCCTTCTCTACTCTTTGACAGCTATTCAGCATTTCAAGACCCAACTCACTCTCCACTGATGTCCACATCATATATCTTTTCCATTCATTAACTATTTATTGAATTATCCTCAGATACTAGGCACTGTAGGCACTATATGAAAATGGGTATGACACAGCACCTATCTTGATGAACTCACAGACTAGTGGATGAGACAGACATTTAAATAATAATCAAAATAAAAGGCATAAACTGTGATAGAAATATGCATGGGGTTATCACAGCAACCACAGAAATGGGAACTTCAGTCAGCTTAAGGGAGGTACGGTAAAAAAGTGACATGAGGGATGGACAAGAATGGTCAGGAGAAGCTTTGTGGGAATGGTCCCTAAGCTAAGTCTGAAAACAGCAACTTAACCAGAAGACTGGAGATGGAAGGCAGGGGATCGAAAAGTCAGGAGGTCATTTCAGGACAGAGTAAAGTATAAACAAGAACAAAGATACAAAAACAATAAATACTCTCATAAATTGGAGGAAACCAAAAGTAAACTGGTATGGTTGGAGCCTAAAATATGACAAAGGGAGAATCCTTGAGTCAACACTGGAAAGGTAGGCAGAGGCCAAATCATATCAAGCTTTAGAACATGGTAAAAAGATAAGTTCCATCCAGAAAGGATGGGTTTAAAGCAGAAGTATAAATGACATTTCAACGAAATCACTCTGAAGATGATCTGAGGCAAGAAGTTCACTGAAGGGCATAGGCAACAAACAATGAAAGCAATGACAAGGAGGAGGACATGGATGGCAAAATTATCAGTACTTACTGAGTTATTAGATTCAGAAGGATAAAGAAACAGGAGCTAAATTTGCCTCAATGGTTAATTATTGAGTGACCAGATGAATGACACTGCCACCAATCAGGAAAGAAAGCACAAGAGCAAGAGCAGGCACAGAGTAGGAGAAGCTGCAATGAGTGCAGTTTTAAAGATGTGGCATTTGAGGGGCCTCAAGTACATATCAACAGAAGAACCTATCATGAATTTAGATACCCGAGATTGAGCTAAAAATACAGATTTGAAATCATGTACATATAGGGGGTAGTTGGAAGGTCTGACTAGGCAAGATTCATTTAGAGAGAACATATGGAATTATAGAAGCAGCTCTGAGAAACATTTAAGGAGTACACAAAAGAACAGAAGCTTGCAATGGCAGCCAAGAAGAAATGACAAGTGAAAAGAATCAGGGGTAGGTGTCATGGAAGCCAATACAAGGGTGAGTTTTGAGAAGACAGTGAATAGGCCTCGAATCTCTTCTAATTACTAAGCATTCTCTCAGTCTTCTTATCTAAATTCATTCTGTGTGCACATGCACTTGCACGCAAATGTGCTGGGGACTGAACCTAGGATCTGTGCATGTTAAGCAGCCCTCAACCACTAAGCTATACCCCCATTCCTTCTTATCTAAACTACTTTGTGGGGCATGGGGGATTGAACTGGGGGGCACTTGACCACTAAGCCACATCCCCAGCCCTATTTTGTATTTTATTTAGAAGTAGGGACTCACTGAATTGCTTAGCGTCCCGCTTTTGCTGAGGCTCGATTTGAACTTGTGATTCTTCTGCCTCAACCTCCCGAGCAGCCGGGATTACAGGCATGCGCGGCCACCTTGCCCAGCTTATCTAAACTTCTTGAAAGAGCCTGTCTCCATTCACTGTCTCCATTTCCTTGCTTTTCATTCATTCCTTAACATATTAGAACCTGGCTTTTATTTCACTCGCTTTCAGGAAATCGATGACATTTCCTTGTTGCCAAACAATTCCTCCTTCCTTTTCCGCATATCAGTCCCCTAACCATTTTCCCACTTACTCCTTACTAGCACTGTCACAGGTCAGGCCTTCATCACCTGTAGCCTGAGCTACTCCAACAATCTAATATTTGTTCTACTTCCAAACTGGTTTCTTCCACATACTTCACATTGCTGCCATATTGATTTGTCTATCTAAAATGCAGGGCTGCTTTTAATGCTCCAATGATTCCCCTTGCCTCTAGGGTGTAGTACATGCTCCTCAGAAAGGCTTCCAAAGTGTGACACCGCCTACCTCTCCAGTATATCTCATACAATTCCATTTCACACTTTATGCTACACAACTAGTAAACTGTTCATGATCCCACCCCATAAACCATAGTATTCCCCATCCTCCTGACTTGGCACTGTGAGATCTTCTTCCTTAAACATCCTTCCTTTCTTTTTTATCTTGGCTAATAACTGACATCCTGTAAGACAGCTCCTCTAGGAAACATTCCCTGACCACATCCTTCCAAGGCTAAATTTACTTTTCCTTTGTGCTCCCAAAGCACCTTGAAAATCCTCCAAAGTAATACTAAACAAGAAGCATTTAAAATTACCTGTCTGCTTCCACAGATAGAAGGTGAGCTCCTCAGATCAGGACCTTTCTCTCACTAATAGTGGAATCCCTGGCACCTAGTACATAACTGTTAAAAGTTATAACAAGCATCCTAAGGGATAAGTGGGATGAGTAGTGGAAAGCTTTAGGAATCAGGAAAGCTTATTATGAATGGCACCATCTCCAATCTTAGAAACATGTATGGTATTCTAGATCACTAGGAAACCACTAATTTTTGTCTTTTTTTTTTTTCTTTTTGGTACCAGGATTGAACACAGAGGTACTCTAAAACTGAGCCACATCTTTATCCTTTTTTATGTTTTATTTAGAAGCCAGAGAATGACACTGCCAGCGATCAGGAAAGGGCTCACTGAGTCATGTAGGGCCTCACTAAGTTGCTGAGGCTGGCTTTGAACTTGTGATCCTCCTGCCTCAGCCTCCCCAGTCACTGGAAATTACATGGATGAATCACCATACCTGGCTTTAATTTTTGTCTTGAAAAATAAATACTTAAATAATTAAAAATAATATGATCATGCAAAAGACATGAATAAATCAAATCCTAAGCAAAATCAGAAAACAAACTGAAGGAGAACTCATAGTGGTAAGAGCTATGGACTCAAGAATCAGGAGTCTAGGGCTCTAATTTCAGCTTTAGGAGGTGAGCTGCAAGAGTCAAATAAATTGCTTATCTAGCTGGTCCTCAGTTTCTCCGTAAGTAATAGAGGACAGCTTCATTGATTTTATGGATCTTTCTGACAGCAACATTCTATAGATCGGTGGCAGAAATATTCTCTTGTATGGTCCAAAAAGAGATGAAACTATAGAAGTTAATGCAACAATAAACAATCTTGACTGGTAGAGCACTTGCCTAGTGTGTGCAAGATACTGGGTTCCATCCCCAGCACTGAAGAAGGAGGAGGAAGAGGAAGAAGAAGAGGAAGAGGAATGGGAAGAGGAGGAGGACAGATGATCAAAATGCAAGCAAACATGTCAAAGGAATAAATGGAGGAATCTCAGAGAAAACAAAACATGAGAAATAGAGAAAAGCAACTGGGAAAGATGAGAAAGAAACACCAATTTAAAAAAAAAAAAAAAAACTTAGGTAAGGAGGAGTTCTAAATTTTGAGTAAGAAAAATAAAAATCCAAACATATAAACAGTATAGAAGGCATATCTTTAGGCAATATCTATAGAGTTATAGCTATAAGAAGATCTATCTCTGGCTATATAGAAAATTAGTGTTCTGAAAAATCTTCCAGTTACCAAACAAAGAGCCTATATACAGTGAACTGGAAAATAAAGTAGTCAGCTAGACCAAAATCATAGCCACTCTAAGGATATGTGCCAATAAGAGAACTGGAGCCTTGGGTTTTAATGGTAGCCTAAGGGAGAAAAGACAATGCCTAATGCCCACAGAGGGTGAGAAGGTGGATTTCAGTTACTGCAGAATAACTTAAGCAGACTAAGCAGACTAACCTACCCTCAAATAGCAATTATAAAACCTGGATAAAGTAAACAAGTATTGGAAAGTATTTGAAGGTATGAAAGAGTGGCCAAAAGTGGACAAACTAGATGGAAGTCTAAAAATGAGAAGATATTTAGGAATCTTTTTGCCAGAGGGCAATCTCTCAGCTGCTCAGTTCAGAGGCCAAACACTATAGGCTTACTGGCTTGAGGTGTCAGTGCAAAGTAAGCAGAGCATCTACAAAATTAGAGAGAGGTGGATCCCAGAAGGGTAGGAAATGCAAAAGGGATAAACTCCACTTCTCTATACACAAACTCCACCCAAATCCTTAGCTAACCATTATACTACACACATACAGAGGTCTCATCATCAGCTTGATGAAAATGTAGCCACTAGAAACTGAAAGAACTAAGCAGAGATTCTGGCTACTGCAAAAGAGAGTCCAGAGTTCAAATATGTCCATGTTAACTGTCTTCTACAATAAAATTCAACACACTTCAGAGTAATATAAGAGAAACCAAAGTCTCTACAATTTATCATTCATATAATATCAGCAACAATTTTAAAATTCCAAAAGTGTAAATAAACAGAAAAATATGATACATATTCAAGAAAAAGTTAACAGAAACCAAACCTGTGGTAAATCAAATATTGTGAATAGCAAACAAAACTTCAAAGCACTAATTTTAAGTATTCTCCAGATAGAAGAAAATGTCCCATGATGAACGAACAGATGGGAAATCACAGCAGAGAAATACAAGCTATCAAATTGAAATTCTACAGTTGAAAAATACAATAAACCAGGTAAAACAAGAAAGTGACTGACAGAAAATTTTAAAAAAATAACAAACAAAAAAAATCAGGATACATTAATTAAATTAAAAAGACCATTAAATACCACTGAAACCTAATAGATATTAGTATAATAATAACTGCAGAATATACATTCTCTTCAAGTATAAATGAAATATTCACAAGGTAGACAACATACAAGGCCATAAAACACATCTTAATAAATTTCAAAAGCTCAAAATTAATTAGAGTCTGTCCTCTGACCAAAATGGAATTAAATTAGAAATCAATAGCAATAAGATATCTAGAAAAGTTGAAATATTTGGGATTAAACAATGCACTCCTAGATAACCAACACAGCAAAGAATAAACCAAAAGGAGAATTAGAAAATATTTTGAATAAAAGCCAACATACAATTTTGAGGGGAAAAAAAAAAACTCAGCAAACTATGAATAGAAGGAAACTTTCTCAATTCGATAAAGGATATCTACAAAACACCTATAGCCTACAATATATTTAATAGTAAAAGACTGAATGTTTTCTTCCTAAGGATAGGAATAAGGCAAAGATGCCTGTTCTTACTACTTCTAGTTAATACCTTCACTGGAAGTGCTTACAAATTCAACAGAGCAAGAAAATGAAAGACATCCAAAACGCAAAAGAAGTAAAACTATCTGTATTTGAAGATGTCACGATCTTTTAGATATAAAATGCAATGGGATCTACAAAAAAGATACTGTACAAAGTGAGTTTTACTTCAAGGAAAACAACTGAAAATATCTGTTGCCAAGGATAAAATTCAAGCTTTCAAATGTAGATTAGAATTTTAAAAAACTATAACCATCACCAAGAACTCTTTAGCTTTCCATTATTTAAAGACTTCTGTGATAAAGTCAGAGATGATATTAACAGGAACAATTTTAATATTGTATAATGAATACATATCAATATTTAGAAGGTTTATAAAACTCAACAAACCAATATTTTTCAAATGACCAGTGAACATTATTATAAAATCATACATGAGTAAAAAAATCAAAGTATAAAAAAGATCAAAATGGATTTTAATGAGATAGTATAAAAAGTTCTTTGAAAGGGTTTTAGATTCCACATAACTAACCTGAAAAGAGCTTTTGTGCAGTATCAAAAATATAATACACCTTTCCTTTTCTATTACTTCTGTATGAGGCTGAATTTTCTTCCTATACTTCAGCTTACATAAAATAGACAAATGCAGAATCCAGCTGTCTACTATTAAGCCACTAATTAATGAAATTTGCAAAAATGTAGATAAATGCTGTCCTTCTGTTTTTCAGTTTGGATAATGTAGCTATTTTTGTTTAAAAAATATAGTAATTATATTAACAATGGCTTTTACTATCTTATAGAGTGAATTAATAAGTACTTTTTAAAAATATCTTTTTTAATTTATTTATTCGTTTTTATATGGTGCTGAGAATTAAACCCATGGCCTCATGTGTCCTCACACGTGTTGAGGCAAGCACTCTATCCTTGAGCTACAACCCCAGCCCATAATAAGTACTTTTTAAACAGTTCAGTTTTAATTTCCATATGGTACACAACAAAAGCTTTCTGGGATGTTCAATAATTTTTTTTTTTTTTTGGTTTTTGGCTATACAAGGGCTTGGTGGGACTTGGTGTAAGCTAGCCAAGTGTTCCACCACTGAGCTACATCCCTAGCCCTTTCTATTTCTTATTTTGAGACAGGATAAATTGTCAAGGCTGACCTTGAATTTGTGATCCTCCTGCCTCAGCTTCCCAAGTAGCTGGGATTACCAGTATACAGTACCACACCTGGCTGGGCCTCAATAATTTTTAAGAATGTCAAGAGATCCTGAGATTTAAATATGTGAAAATCATTGTTTTAGATGTTAGAATGCTTTTAGTAGACAAGAGGAGATGGGATCCAATACGTAAACAGAAGTGACTTTAGATAGAAGTCTATAGTTTATATATCACAACAGACGGGAAATTAAAATATATGCGTAGGTGAATAGAGAAGTCTAGGGATCTCTGAGACATTACCAGTACTTACTCCTAAGACAATTAAGAGAATTAAGGTTCAAGCACTGGGCTGGGGTTGTGGCTCAACAGTAAAGTGCTTGCCTAGTATGTGCGAGGCCCTGGGTTTGGTCCTCAGCACCACATATAAATAAATAAAATAAAGGTATTGTGTCCAATTACAACTAAAAATAAATAAATAAATAAATTTTTTAAAGGGAAAAAAAGGTCCAAGCACTATGTTTTAAAGATATAATATATAGAAAGCTCTGGACAATAATCATCACTCATCCCATCTAAATATTAGAGAATACAAAAAGGGATCGATGTCCAAAGCACAGAGTATCCTATCTTGACCATTTCAGTTGTTTGTCCAGAACTTAAAAAGTATTGTGAAGAAGAAAGAAGAGGGGGAATGTTACAAGCATGAGAAATAGAATTTGTGGACCTCAGAAATAGAAGCAGGCAAAGTACATATCATTCACCTTAGGATTACAACACAAAATGATGATGAATAAAGAGTGGTTTTAAAAGAATAGTAGGGAAAGTTAGGGTGAGGTGGAAGACAAAAATTAAAATGTAGGAAACAGGCTTACCTGTCCACTCCATCCCAGCGATATCCAGGCCAGATATTGAATCTGTTGGGAGGAGGTGCTGGGCCACTATAGCGAGGTCTCACTAAGGAGAGCAATGAGAAAAAAGTTGTTAGTTACCTATATATTCAGAGATGAATAGAAACAGGGAAAAAAACTCTATATAGAAAACCCTACTGTGTTGAATCTAAACTCCCAGAAAAATATGAAGAATTTTAAATTGTACTGAAAAACCATCTTTGCACATAGACTCTATCTTCAGTAAGACACTTCCATCCAGCTCTGATAATTCCCATTAGTCTCACCTTTCTTATTCTTGTTTTCCTTGGCCTTATTCTTCTTGATGAAGTTGGCCATGGGGTCCCCCTCTCTTTCTTGTTCTCTGAGCATCCGATCCAGGTCTTCATCATCAATATAGCGGGCCAGAGGCTTCTGCATCTCCTTCATTGCGTCCTCCACATTTTGTTGCTGTTGCCGGCTCTGGGCAAGCCTGGGCAAAAAAGAACTATCCTATTTGACAATTCCACTCTTACACTGAGACAGACCACAATGCTACATTTAGAGAACCTCGGCTTTGTAGTAGCCTAGGCCAAATAATAAAAAAGGTAAAATTCCCAGAATCCAACTGGAAGTATGGAATATATCAGCCTCTTGGTAAGGAAATTCAGCAGATTGAATGACCCTTCCTGACAACAGCTTTAAAAAGCAGAAAATGACTTGTTTCAGTCACTGCTGTTTTGTTTTCCCTTTCAGTGGTACCCTTACCCTTTTCCCCACTGGGCATACAGCTCATCTCTCTCCGAGTCCTTCTCTGCTTTTCTCCTTTGCTCTAGACGTTCCAGTTTCAAATTCCTCTTCCGACCAGACTTGTCACGAAATACAGTTTCAGCAAACTGGAATTCAGCTACAAAGGAAAATTATACTTTTTAAGATAAATGCCAGGTATCAAAAGGCTAATATTTAGGAACAACATTCTATCAGATGAAATCAACTGCCTTGGATTTGTGATCCAGTTTAAGAACTTTTGCAGTCTTCCCCCCTCCCACTAGTTCCTACCAACACTGAGGTATATATTGAGGATGGTCCTGAGAACTGACATCTTCTAAGAAGAAAAGTATCACTTGGACCTACTATAGATTAAAATATACATAATAACCAGAACTGAAATCTAATAGCAATTAAATTTAAACTATCAGAATCAATAAGCCATATTTAAAAAGAAGAGAAGCTACATGAACCTAGTTGGACTCTACACTTCAACAATTTTACCTTCAAATGCCTTGGTTTCCTGGTCCTGTTTCTTGAGCTCTTGCTGCTCTTGTTGTATGTCAGTTAACACCAACCCAGTTTTAGCCCCAGAATACATGTATGCAGCCTGTGCAATGGAAAAGGGAGCATCCAATATCAATGAGACAATGTATCAGTAGGCTCCATGGGTCTACAAAATTAGTTGCATTTTTGTCCATGATCAACAATAACCAAACCAAAAACTCCAGCTTCACAGTTTGATTACTGACCATAGGATTCACAACACAGAAAAGAAGAAATAAGACCTAATTCCAAGGAAAATTTAATAGTACCATCAAGTTTAAGAGTAAACAAACACAAACCAACAATATATTAAAGGAGGGGCTAAGCATTTGTATTTCCAACTTTTCAGTATATAAAACTGCACACATGAAGATTCACTTTCAGGTCACCTAACCAGAAACTTGTATCAACCTCTGTTCCAAAAGACACTGCACTGAAAAAATACTCCATTTAAAGTACAAATTCAAGTAAACCTAAGATCATCAAGCAAGGACAATAATAGAAGAAATGACCAAATGAAAATTTTCTACTAATTTTCACTTTGCATCAAGCTAAACTCCAAGGTACAAATGGAGTATGTATTATATCATTACATCCATAAGCAATTACATTTGATTAGTATCAGATTATGTATGTACTAAATAACACATAAAACATCAAAGCGTTCAACTGAAATAGAGACCTTACTTTTTTCCTCTAAAGAAAGTTAGGCACAGGCTGGTCTAACCAGCCAGGACCAATTTCTCAGTCTTCATCAGAGGAAATTTACCTGAGCAAGTCTGCCATGAGAGAAACATGTACACCATAGGCTATATTGTTCTGTTTTATTTTTTTTAAGTTGCCAATAGATCTTTTATTTTATCTATGTATTTATACATGGTGCTGAGGATTGAACCCAGGGCTTCACACATGCCAGGCAAGTGCTCTACCACTGAGCTACAACTCCAGCCCCCCGTTCTGTTTTTTAACCAACTCACAAGTGCGATTCCTTTACTACTACTAGTGTTCTTTACAATACAATTACACAGGGTTCATGTGGCGTTTTCTTGTGCTAATTTATCAAGCTTTATTAAGATTTAAAACAAAACTGACTTCCCAGACAATATAATTTATAAAAGTAGTTTCATATTTTAAGTGCTTCTATATAAAGACAGAATAGAGACCTGGATCCAGAGCTCTACATACAAAGGCCTACAGTTCACTTTATAATCAATTTATAATGATAAATCATCAATACCAAATGCTTACTTTGTTGTACAGTGCTATAAGTTTTACTTCCACCAACTCATTTAATTCTTACAAATAATTTTATAAAGTAGATTCTAGCATTACCAACATTTTATGGATGTAGAAGCTGAGGCTTAGAGTTATCAAGCATCTTGCCCAAATTTCAGAGATAATTAGAAGCTGGATTCAAATGTGCAATTAGTCTGACACAAGGTTTGTTGTCCTAATTCGACTCTGCAAACAACCATCCTCATTTTGTTCTTAAGAAAACAGGAAGCCAGGTGCAGTGGCACATGCCTATAATACCAGCAACTTGGGAGACTGAGGCAGAAGGATTCCAAGTTCCAGGCCAGCCCCAGCAACTTAGCAAGACTCTCAGCATCTTAGCAAGACCGTCTCAAAATTTTAAATAAATAAATAGGGCTGGGGATGTCACTCAGTGGTAAAGTGTTCAGTCCAAGTTTTTCTGGAACTATTAAAATGAGATTTGTGGAATTATAAAGCCAAAAAGGCTGAAGCCTCTTGGAGAATCTGGTGCTGAGCATCTCTAATTCAAAAGCCTAAAACCCAAAATGCTCTGAAATCTGAAACTTTCAAAACATCATGCTTTGTGTTTACAAGTCTGGGCTGTTATAGCCAATCCTGCCCTCAGAGAGAAAGAAAGCTTCAGGAGACCCTTTAACTAAGATTTTCTATACTATACCAGGACCTACCCACTTTTTCTCTGGCTTGATTCTCTTTGACTGATATAAAGTTAAATGAGAGGAGTTTCTCTGAGAAAAGAGTATAATATCTGGAAATCCCTACCTTCTTTCCAGGAGGCTGACTCCTTCGAGGTGGAGAGAGATCAGAATCAGAAGATTTGGTCCTCCGTTTTCTTCTTGGTGGAGAGAGGTCAGAATCAGAACTCCGGTGTCTTGGTCTATTCCGTGGAGGTGACAGATCTGAATCAGAATCCTGGTGCCCTGAACTTTGTTTATGCAGTGGAGGAGAAAGATCTGAATCAGAGGCTTTCCAGTAGTCACCTGGATAGGAAGAAGATCCAGTGCATGATTTTGATGTCTCCTAGGTGACATGTATGAAATTTCCTAGATTGGAAAAAGAGCCTAAAAATTAATGAATAAATTATGGCGTAGCGCTCAATGACAGAGCACTTGCCTAGCATGCACAAGACCTTGGGTTAGATCTCAAACAAAACACAGAAAAAAAGATAATCCCCTTACCAAGCTAAGGTACAATATTTATTTAGTACCCCTGTGAGGAACTATTACTAACCAAAACATAAGTATGGATGGATGACAGGGAAGAACAAAGTCAGTGACAACTTTTAAAACTAATAGGCAGGATGAGTGGTTCTATTACCAAGTAAATAGTAACTAGCAACTGTGCTAAGTTTATGAGATCTTAATACACTCATCTGTGGTACCCCCATCCCACCCAAGAAAACAGGTAAGACAACTTGGAGTCATCTCTCTCTGGTGTGGCAAAAGCCAGGAATACCTAGAATATATTCTGACATTCTCACACTAAAGGATATGGAAGTATTTTAATTTAAACTTAAAATTGTACTTAGGAACAAATGAAGAAAAAATTTCATCATACAAGCTTAAGTTCTAGATAAAAACATCACAAGTCACCACCACCACCACCCCCTCAAAAAAAAAAAAAAAAAAAAAAAAACTGCAATATGTCTTATCAGTATGAAAATAATCAGTCCTTCTGACCTAGTAAATCAACTTCTTGGCTTTCTAAGAGACCTATATAGAAGCAATTAGATTTCTAGGAAATCTATACAGACACAGATAAGGAAATATCCAAAAAGGGACAACAGTTTAAACATAAGGATGTTCATTAAAGGATTACAAAAGCTAAAACTAAGAAATAACCATGAATATGCACTATTAGGAACAGACTTTGGGGGGTCTTTTTGTTGTTATTTCTTCTGGAATTGTTGGGGATCAAACCAAGGTCTTGCACATGCTAAGCAAGTACTCTACCACTGAGCCACATCCCCAGCCCTTTTTTGATATTACATTACATGTGACTAAACCTGTGCACATGTAATGTAAGGGAAATTGTTAAGTCAATTTATACAACATAACACCATTAAAAATTACAACAACACAGAGGTATTTTTAGACCTGAAGATTATGTTAAACAAAAAGAGTAGTCAATATTATATATGAGATATATTTTGCACAGCAGGAGTCAACTACATCAAAAATGCATCCCAAAAAAAACCCCAAAGACTCTGGCTACAACACTAGTCATGACTGCCCGAGTGACAGGATTCTGTATCACATTTTTTCTGCTTCATTATACATTTCTATATATTCTAAGGTTTCTGCAAGAAATATGTAGTACTCTTATATAGAGTAGGGAGAGTAAATAACATGACATATAAAAATTTCCCTTCCCATCACTGTAATTTTTCAATTCCCTTGAGCTCAGCCCCTCAACTTTTTAAAACTCTTCCAAAGAAACCTATTCGCATAAAGCAAATTCCAATAAAGCAAGTAAAGATCTAAAAGAAAGAACCAAAAGAATTAAGCCCCTCCCAGGGGCAGTCAGATACTCACCTTTAGAATCAAGTGGCTTCTTATCTCCATAATGGGCTTTTGTTTGTTTTTTTCGTGGAGGAGAGAGATCCGAGTCACACTCATGTTTGATGTTCTTTGGGAGTGATGGATGAGAGGGTCCTGGCCCCTTCTGGTGTGGAGAAGTCTTACTGGAAGCTCTTTCTGGAGCTTTATTACTTTTAGTTCTGGGCAGTAAATGAGCAACATTAGTTGCCAAATCAGGGGAGTCGTGATGGGCCCTCCTGGGATGCCTTGTGTCTGAGGAGTCAAAAGTTCTCCTAGTTTGGGATGTATCAGGGGAGTTGTTACAGGCCCTTCTGGAGGAAGAGATACCTGAGGAATCATGATGGACTCTCTTAGGAGATACACCTGAAGAATTATGATGAGGCTTTCTGGAGGGAGAAGGATCTGGAGAAACATGATAGGCCCTCCTGGGGGGCGAAGCATCTGAGGAGTCATGGCGGACCCTCCTGTTAGGAGATATGTCTGAGTCATCACAGGCCTTTCTTGGGGGAGACAGATCTGGAGTATCATGACGGCCCCTCCTAGGAGGAGATGGATCTGGAGTATCATGACGGACCCTCCTAGGAGGAGAAGAATCCGGGGTATCGTGACGGACCCTCCTAGGAGGAGATGGATCCGGGGTGTCATTACAGGACCTTCTAGGAGGAGATGGATCGGGGGTATCATGACCAGCCCTCCTAGAAGGAGATGGATCCAGGGTATCATGATGGACCCTGCCAGAGGGAGATGAATCCGGGGTGTCATGACGGGCCCTCCTAGGAGGAGATGGATCTGGGGTGTCATGACGGATCCGCCTAGGAGATGGGTCCAGAGTGTCATGATGGAAATGTCTATGTGAGGGTACATCTTCACTGTAACCTAAACACAAATAGCAAAAAGTCAGATTCTCACAAATGCTCGGTCCACCCCTAACACCCAAAGTTTCAAAAAATGCCCCAACAGACACATCTCAAAACTACTCAGAATGTTCAAAAGGTCTGCACAGCTCTCTTGCTTAGTGATAGCAAACCAGCACTCATGGGTATCTTGAGAATAACTCCTCTTATTTGCCTACCACATCATCAATTTGTAAAGCATTTTAAATATACTTTTTATATTATAACCTGTAGGGTAAGCAAGGCAGGTATCTTTGTTTTACAGACATTTAAAAAAAGGCTCATGCCAGGCACAGTGGCGCACACCTGTAATCCCAGCAACTCCGGAGGATGAGACAGGAAGATCACATGTTCAAAGCGGCCTCAGCAACTTAGCCAGGCACTTAGCAACTCAGCAAGACCCTGTCTCTAAATAAAATATAAAAAATGCCTGGGGATGGGGCTCAATGGTTAAGAACCCCTAGGTTCAATCTCAGTACCAAAAAAAAAAGAAAGAAAGAAAAGCCTCTAAGTGATTTCTTAGGGTTTGTTTATTCATTTGTTTGTTCTGAGATACTAGGGACTGAACACAAGGATGCTCTACCAACAGAGCTATATCCTCAGTCCTTTCTGTTTTTTATTTCAAAGACAGGATTTCGCTAAATTGCCAAGGCTTGCCTTGAACTTTCGATCTTCCTGTCTTAGATTCTCCAACAGCTAGGATTACAGTTGTGTCACCACATCTGGCTAGGAACTAAATAATTTCGTACCTAAAGTCATAGCTACCAAGAGGAAAAGACAAACTAGAACCCCAGTCTTCTAATCCAATTTCTTTCCCAAATCGTTTTTGTGCATAGTTCCCAGTCAGTGGCTCCTAGTATATATTTAGTCTAATTTATAGTTTGTATTCAGTCTTCATTCAAAAGGCCAAGTGACTAAACCTGTGCGCCATCAAAATGAAATGCTATTAAGTATTTAACCCATGTCATTGTGCTCCTTATTACGGGGGGAGAACCACCAGAAAAAAAAAAAAAAAAGTATTTACTGATCATTTGTGTGCTAATGCTTTACATTACTTCATCCAATTCTCACAAAAAGCCAAGGGGATAAATATTGTTATTCCCATTTTATAGATGAGGAAGTTGATAGTCAGATAGTCAGAAGGACTAAATAATTTACCAAAGTCGTACTGCTAACATGTGGTAAAGGAGTAAACACTCAAATCCAGATCTACTTGGCACCAGAGTTCATACGCAATCTTTAAAAATACAGTTGAAAAAATAAGTTGTTTGAGACCATCAACTTTCAAAGGTCTCACAGAATGAAATGTTTATAGCAACTGGGACATTTCTAAATTTCAGCTCCTCCATTCCCCCTATTTCTTATCATTGAGTTCCATGGCCCAAACACAAATAAAAAGTATGTAGGACCCAATGAATACTTACTAAATGAATGAATTAAACCAAGTCAGCTCCTTCACTTTGGGGAACAGGCCTATCTGATTAGAATTCACTCTAAAGAGAAAAGATGCTAGTGGAGAAACTGACAATAACCTAATCCATGAACTTGATAACTGACAGGATAATTATAAAAAGGGAGTACAGAGATCCGTGAGGATATTTCCTATAATAAGATTGGGATGGAGTACTGCAACTGCAGGTGAGGCAGAAGAAAAAGGACTCTGTGTATGTGTGTGTGTCGGGGTGGGGGTGGGGGTGCACATGCACCTATTTGTGTTTCACTTCTGAGACCTGTAAATATAGAGACCAGAAGATTCTTCCTGGAAAAAGTATTATGGAAAAAATGGAAATACAACTATAGGAAAAGGCAGAATATCCACTACATGTGAAAAGGAACAAACATCAGCAGAGTTAAACTATTATACAGAAACAAGATCCTGTCAGGCACATCCCAGTGACTAGGAAGGCTAAGGCCAGAAGATTACAAATTTGAGGCCAGCCTGGGCAACTTAACAAAAGCAAGAATCATATGTCTATCAACAAATATTTATTTACTTAGTCATTTTTTTTAATTGGTTAACTATCTTTGAATTTTTTTGTTGTTCTAATTAGACATATGAGAAAGTAGAATGCATTTTGACATACTGTACACAATTGGAGAAGAAATATTTATTAAGGGCACCTCGTTATACTAGGCAAAGAGAATACCATGGCAAATAAGAGGTCTTTGCCCTTTGTGAGCCAAATGAAACCTTTTCTCTTAAAAAAAAAAAAAAAAAAAGAGGAAAAAGAAGAAGTTATCTCTGCTCAGACAGATATGAACCAATTCTTAAGAACTGTAAAAAAAAAAAAAAAAAAAAAAAAACTTCTTAAATAGGAAGTTAAATTATGAGTCTAGGGAGAGGGTCTAGAGTAAGCAAGAAGAGGATAATGCACTATAAAATGCCAATATTTAAGGGAAGAATGGAGAAATTTACTAAAACAAATAAAAAGGACAAAAACATTGGTACTTGATCCATACATGGGTTGCTTCATTCTAGAAAAGGAAAGAAGCATTCGAACTCTCCCAACTCTGTTCCTCAGGGTGCTGAAAGATCTTCAAATGAGGACCTTCTGACCTCAGCAGCCCTAATACAAAAATATAAGAGCAAGAGGGATACCCAGTCTCCAACTTCCCATGTCTAATTACCTCTGAAGAAGTCCTGTTTTCTTTTTTCCCATGATACTTTTTAGGATCAATGACACACTGAAACAAACTATGCATTCCTCTAAAAATAAAAGTTCAGAAAAGAAAGACCTATCTTATAAATGGGAAATTTAGATTCATGTTTTGTTGGAACTCACCTCCCAAAAGCTTCCATTTGGCACTGGAACGAAAGGCCTCCATCTGCTTTACTTCTTCTGGCCGCTCATCCACAAACTCAGCCACCTATGGAGTAAGGACCTATGCTGAATAAATTCAATCTGTAGCCAGAGAGTTCCACCATCTTCAGAACCTGAAATTATAGCCACTCCCATTCCCAATATACACAGTGCACATATACCCATGAGAAGTGATCATAAAGAAACATACAGTGGTCCTCAATTGTTTGCTCCACAAACATACAATAGTCACTGTACTGGCTTAATTGTAGGTTTTTCCCCAACTAGTCAATTTCCCTTCAAAGGTTCATTTCTTTCATTACAAGCCTCTTTATTAACCCTCCAGATACACAACTGCCACTTGTACACTAAAATTAAATTTCTTCTATACTTTTACATTCAGAGTAAAAAAACAGGCTGCCTCACTGCCATGTCTATCACTAATTAAGAATTTTGGGCCCTTATGAGACCTTCCTTGTTATGGGTTGTCATGATACTAGTTCTTCTTGAATACAACCAAAGGGAGCAATTGATATGTACACAGAATTATATAATTTTTACAGGATTAAAACCATATTTGATATCCTCCAAATTGCCAAACAAATCAGAATCTTCTCCATAGTATCCCTAATAAATGATTGCTTGCCCAATCCCTCCCTGATAGGAAACTCACTGACCAGGAGCTCATTATCTTACAAGGAAGCCCATTTGCATTTTTGCAGTGTTAGAAAATTCTTGGTTTTATTATTTTTATTGATCCACCCTCTTGTAACTTCTTTTCTTCAATCCTAATTCTGACCTCTGATACAAGTGATCCCCTTTCCACATGAAAGAGTTTCAAAGATGGCTCTCTAATAAATTCTAGTTACAGAGTAGCAACTACGTGGGAGGCATTGTATTTTGTACTTATATATTATCTCACTCATTTCTCACAATAATCCTGCAAAGAAAGACTTTAGGACATTGACCAGCAAATTGTGACTCAGAGTAGTTAAGTAACTTTCTCAATGTCACAAGCTAACAAGTTGTAAAACTAGAATTTAAATCCAGGTCATAATTCCCCTCTACTACTTCTCTTCTCCCAAAATCTTACTATCATTCTTCACATAACCTTGTTTTGAGATCGTTCTCTGGGCATGGACAGCATAGGCTTTCAGGATGAACTAAAATCAAAAGCCCCAGCTCTGCCACTTAACATCTGTGCACCCTTTGGCAAATTATTCCAAGCCTCAGTTTCCTCATTTGTAAAAGCAGGACTCAAAAGAATCCTATGAGGACTGAATGAGATTACTCATGAAAGCTTAGCAGAACTCAATACATGGTAAGTCCTCAAAAAATTATATCTACTACTAGTTATTCTTATGTGCCAGTGCTACCATAGTCATCATAATTATTTTTAACTTTATTGGTGATGGTGGTAATGATCTTACAGAAACAAAATGAATTCAATAATAAAGATTTGTTTTAATCAGGGCAGGGAGTACTGTGCTGAAAACCTCCTTTTTTAGGGTTTTAAGCCATCATAAAAGCAAAAGGCAATATTATAAAAGAAAATTAATAGGCTTGATTACAGAAAAAATAAAACTTTTTATAAAAAAAATGAAAGGGCAATGATAAAACATCCTCTCAATATTATTACATAAATACTAAATAAATCAATATAAGAATCAAAATTTCAATTTCCTAAAAATTAGGCAAAGAGGAAATTCACAAAACACAAATGCCCAAAAAACATATGAATAATTACTTATTTCACTAGTATTGAAAGAAACTAAATACCATTGTTCACCTACAATATTGGTAGATAGGCTGTTGCTTTCCTTGTTTACCAAAAATTATTGAAAAAGTGGGAAACCCAGCATTTTCATATACCCCTAGTGGGAGAGTAAACTGGTAACAGCTATTGGAAAGCAATATGGGAATACAGCTCTAAAGGGCCATTCCCTCTGACCCCTTAATTTCATTTTATAGAAATAAAAAAAAATGGATTCCTAAACTGCCTTATAAACAAGATATTTATCAAACCAATATAATATTTTAAAGCTGGGAGAAAAAAACCCATGTGTCCAGTAAATAGGACAGGTTAAAATAAAAACATATAGAACTACTTTGCAACCATTAAAAATCAAAAAGAATACTTTAAAGTCTAACTAAAATATTTTCAATATTAAGTGAGAGTGTAGGCTCCAAAACTATTTGTACAATATAATCCCATTTGTGTATGAAAAAATAAATAAAATGCAAGGATGTATAATCTATAAGGAGGAAAAAAACCTGAAGAGCTACACATCCAAATGTTAGCAGTTGTGTCCAAATGGTCACAGTACAAGTGATTATTACATTCTTTTTAATACTTTAAACTTTCTTATATCCCAAAACATTCTATAATAAATGTATATTGCTCTAATAAAACAAATGCTGTAAATATTAGATTTGAGTGATCTGACTAAAATTAAATTGGCTCCTTATGATCACTATTTCACTTATAATTACTAACAAGCCATCTTTTAAAAAATCCATTTTAGAATTTCACTGGGAACTTATACTGCCCTGGAATCCATCTTTACCATCTTTTAATATAATACAGCCTATCAACAGCTCTTTTTTACCTGTTTCTCAGAAATTATCAGCATTGGTTCCATGAATATACTAATGGGAGGTTACTGGCCTATGTTTTCCTCCACCTGGCTCTTATTCATCCTTCAAAACTCAATTCAGATCCTTACTCTTTCATGACTCCCAGTGGAATATAAAGTGCCCTACTTCCCCTTTGCTCTAATGGTGTTTGCTGCCTATGTGGAATTTATTTTATTGTTTGAAATTATATGAAATACAGCCTCTCATTCTAGAGTATAACCTCTAAAGTACAAACAGTATTTTCTATTCATCTACAAATCTCCAGTACTTAGGCAAGAGTACACAATTTTAAAGCTTATTTAAATCAATGAACAAAATGAGCAAATAAAAATTTTCCTCTAATAGAATCTAAACATTATTTTAAGGTAGATTCCAACAAACTGAACCATGGATAATACTAATTATGGCTCAGTCAACATGTTGAGGAGTTCCGCCTCTCTCTTTTCTCATCCACAGGCTGATAGAGCTTCCCATAAATAGAGGAGTCAGTGTACAGATGTTCCTCAACTTACAATGTGGTTACATCCATTTAAACCCATCATAGGTTGAAACTATCTCAAGTCAAAAATATATTTAATAATATATTTAATAATAATATATTTAATATTTAATACACCTAACCCACTGAACATTTGAGCTTAGCACACAATATACTGTAGAGGATTGCTTAATTCTCCTTGTGATCACATGGCTGACTGGAAGCTGTGGTTCTCTGCCATTACCCAGCATCATGAGATAGTATCATACATGAATAGTGCTAGGCCAGGAAAAAATCAAAATTCAAAATTCAAAATACAGTTTCTACTTAACGTATATCACTTTCACAACACTGCAAAGTAAATAAATTAAAAAGTTGGAACCATATGCATAAGCATCATGAAAAAAGACTACATTTAAAAGGTCTTTGGAAAATGTCACCTCTTTTCTCTGTGCTCAGCTTCCTTCTCTATAAATCTATCCTGCAATGGGAAGCAAATGAGAAGCTTACATCATTTCAAAGTGCTGACAATAGGTATAACTAAGAAATACATACCACAGGCAAATCTCCATCATCTTCCTCCTCCTTTTCTGGTTTAGTGTTGGAGATAGCTGTCCAACTCACATCATCATCAACAATCCGCATTCTAAAAGGGAACAATAAATAGATCAAAAAGGAACAGTCATTCTGGGATGCCAACCTAAAGAACGCTTATTTGTTAGGTTTAGGATAAACTTCAAAATCCTGCACAATCTAGTCTTTGTCTATATGGATTTCATCCCTTGCCACTGCCCCCTCAATTCACTACTAGTCATCTTTTGATGCCTGCAATAAGCCAAATTCCTTACTATGTCAGTTTTCACAAATGCAGTTCCTTCCCTCTACCTGACCTACTCTTCTCATTCTTTACCAGGCACTCTTACTCATTCTTCAGGTCTAAGCATAAATATAATTTCCTTGCACATATCTTCCTTGCCTACCCTCTTCCCACTCTTAGACTAAAAACCTCTATTACACCCTTGGGATACTTTCATTGTATTTTTCCAAAATAATGAAATCAATTACTTGTATAAAGCCTGGATTCTCTAAGCTTCATTAAACTGGGACCAAGGTGTTCTTATTCACAGAGATATCCTCAAAACCCTTCAATAACTGGCATAATAGCTGCAATCAGTCCTCTATATCAATGGTCCTGTATTTGCATTCAACCAACCACAGACTGAAAACACTCAGGAAAAAACCTCATCTGTATTGAGTAGGTAGAGACTTTTTGTCACTATTTCCTAAATAATTCTGAACAACTGCTGACATTGCATTGACATTGTATTAGGTACTATTAATAATCTAAAGATGCTCTGATATATGGGAAGATTTGTGTAGGATACATATAAATATATGTCATTTTATACAAGAAACCTGAATATTCATGGATTTTGGGAAACAATCCCCAAAGATACTGAGGAATGACTACATTTATTAAATATTTGTTAGACAAACGAACTGGGATGGGAAGAGTTATTATTTGAAAAGTTAGGGGCACTTGAGAAAACAGCTCTAATCACAACTATTTAACGTAAGTAGTACTGTTAAATTTTAACTCTCATTTTAAAGATTAGGAAACTGAGACTCAAAGAGATGAAATATTTTGCCAGTATCAACAAAGCTTAATAAAGTGGCACAGATATGATTCAAGCTCTGATATGGACGTGTTGATTCCAAAGCTCAAACTATTTTCATAGCATGGCATTGCTCCCAAAGAATACACAACAAATCAGAGGAGAAAGAAAACAGAAAGCAAGAATAAAGCAAGAACCAAACCAGTAAAGAAAACAGACTAGTTGTGGAACTATTTGACTTTACTGGGTGTATTAGTTTCCTAAGACTGCCCATAACAAAGTACCACAATCTGGATGGCTTAAAATGACAAAAATGGATGGGCATTAGTACACACCTGTAATCCCAGCAACTCAGGAGGCCTGGGCAGGAGGACTGTAAATTCAGGCCAACCTCAGCAACTTAGGGAGGCCCTAAGCAACTTAGTGAGACCCGGTCTCAAAATGAAAAATAAAAATGGCTGGGGATGTAGCTCAGTGGTGAAGTGCCCATAAGTTCAATCCTCAGTATCAAAAAAAAAAAAACAAAGACAGGTGTTTTCTCACAGTTCTGAAGGCTAGAAGCTGAAATCAAAAATCAAATAAAAAATCAGGGTGTCTATAAAAGGCCATGGTCCTTAGGACCTCATTCAGTTTATGGTAGGTAGTCCAGACAGACCTTGCTTGGATTGGCTCAGCTTAAATACAATCCAATTTCAGCTTCCACGTACACATGGCCATTTTCCCTGTATGTGAAAAACTTCCATCTTCTTAAAAGGACACTAGTCATACTGAATTTAGTATCCATCTTAATAAAGTATAATTTCATCTTAACTGATCACACCTGCAAAGATCCTAGTTCCAAATAATGTCATTTTAAGTTCTGGACTGAGGAGAATTTGGGGAAGGGGGTACTATTAAACTAGTACGCTGAGTCACGAAATTTTCTCATTTGAAAATAAGAATAATAATATCTACTTCTGATAGTAAGTTAAGTTCATATATTTCAAATTTCTTAGGTGCCTGGCGCATAACAAGTGTGTAAATGTTTCCGTCAATGATAACATTTAAGAGTAACAGACACGATCACGGATGGGTCTTCGAATCGGGATAAGAGTCCCTAGGATTTAGGAACCCCCACAGGCAGGGCCCTAAATATCCAAGCACAGAAGCTTTGAAGTAGCTAGAGTATTTTCGGAGGCACGACGTTCAATCTCTAGAGGACGGAAGGCTATAAAGGCGGGAAAAAAAGGAAAGTTACAGCCTCGCTTTAACACATGCAGCTGCTCAGAGGCGCTAGGTGTAAGCCGGGAGGAGGCAGAGGTCAGGAGAACCTGACGCAGTCCAAGTGGGACCCCGAGCTTAAGCAGGCAGGGGTCGCAGCGCAATGAGGCAGCCGCGCCGGCAGGATGCAGGAACCGGGAGGCGGAGGGCGGAGTTGGGAAAGGTGAGGGGGCGGCGAGCTGTCACAGGCCCCGCCCCTGCCAGGAACTCACCCCTTGCCGCCAACCCCGCCAGGTTTTGGCCGCTTTTTACGCCGCTTGCGACCGGACTCGGGAGCCCCGTCGATGCCTGCATCTGCCCCAGACAGGTAACGCTTCAGATACTCAGCCTTGGAGAGCGGCGGAGCTGCCGCCATGGCAGCGGCGAGGGTGGGTATACGGCTCGGCGCTGGGGACAAACCTCCTGAACGCGAAACCGACGGCGGTGACCCAGTAGGTGGAGCCAGAAGCGGAAGTGGTGACGTAGGCTTGGAACTGCCAGTCTGACGAGTGAGATGTATTTTCAGTATAAAGAGAAATGTGAACGCCTCCAGGATCGGCTCCACGACACAACCTTGTTTCTTCTTTGCCCTTCCATCCGTTCATCCATCCGACGCACAGCGCTGTCCTAGCGTGAGGCCATAAATCGATCTAAACAAGACCTGTCCCCAGAGGCTTCAGTGAAGAATGTAGGTTCTGGAGTTGCAGCAGATCCAGATTTGAATACGAGCACATAACTTCCTAATTGGACCTCGGGCAAGTTTTTTAACAAAATGGGGAGAACTCAGAATGGTTGTGAGGACTAAAATAATATTACTGTTCCACTATGAGCTATTTTTACTAGTTATAAACATCTTTAGGTGGACTGGAATCTGCTCCAGTAGGCTTCCAGGTACCATTTGAAAGAGAAAGTCAGAAACGCAGAATTCAATATAATGACTATAAAAACGTGTAGGTTTCTAAAACATGTGTAACTTCCCCCACGTTTGATATTATTAGTAGCCATAGTTACCTCTTGAAGGAAACTATGTAAAATGTTGCTAATAAAATGGACATGGAGGGAACAGAGTTGTGGCTCAGTGGTAGCTTGCTTGCCTTGCACGGGTGGGGCACTGAGTTCGATCCTTAGCATCACATAAATAAATAAACTAATAAAATAAAGGTATTGTGTCCATCTACAACTAAGAAAAAACATTTTTTTTTTTCTAATGGACATGGGCTGGGGATATAGCTCAGTTGGTAGAGTGCTTACCTTGCATGCACAGGGTGGACACGGGACTGTTTCAGCATAGCAAATAAAGAAAGCTGGAAACGGAATTCTAATATTCAAGTTTTAGTGGAAAGGCAAACTTTTCTTCTGTAAGGAGTTAAGAGCTTTATCTTAATTAGCTCATTTAACCCTCACAATTAATCCTCAGGCAATTTTGTTATCCTGTTACAGATGACAAAACTGAAGCTTGGAGAAGTGCAGGAAATTGCTCAACTTCACACTTGCTAAAACATCATTCTTGGGGGCAGCGGATAGCCAGATGTGCAAGAAGTAATCCACTTTTTTTTCTGAAGTAAAATATTGGAGCTCTTTTTTGTGTCATGTTTAAAACTTTGCCATTATTTTCGGCTATTTGTCAAGTAGGCACTGTCATACTTTATTTTTCTTTAAATATTTACTTTTTAGTTGTAGTTGGACACAATATCTTTATTTTATTTATTTATTTTTATGTGATGTTGAGGATCGAACCCAGGGCCTCACACATGCTAGGCAAGTACTCTACCGCTGAGCCACAACCCCAGTCCCATTATCATACTTTAAAAATAAAGACACCCCTCTTGGGATTCATGTTCAAAAACATTCTTCACTTATCTAATACAAACAGGCTTGGAGATCACTGCCTTGAAGCATGTCTTTGGGGTGATGTTTGTGATGCTGAGAATTGAACCCAGAACCTCACTGCAATTAGCAAAGCACTCTACCACTGAGCCACACCCCCAGCCCAAAGCAGGAACATTTAACTACTGGGCTGTGCTGGGTGGCTTTAGCATAGCCCAGAAAGGAAAACAGGATAGGTCTCTTGAGGGCTTGTGAGAAGGAGACACTGGACAGAGAAAATAGGGTTTCACTAGCTAGAGGGCCCCAAAGGTCTCCAGAAAGCTGACTTGACTTCATGTCCAATTTGGTTTATCTTAAACTGAACTGAAATGTCAGCAGGCATTTGAAATGTCTCATTTTTCTGCTCCAATGAAAATCAGCAGTATACCCCCTATAGCCTCTCAGTCCATCTCTTTCTTGTTACTATCTTCTTCAGTTCCAACCATTTCACCCACTGACAGCCTTAGCCTGATACTACCCAACCCTACAACACAGGGCAGTGAAGCAGGATCAGATTAGTATGTGCCCAGTGGCATGGCCTGAGCTCTGCTGTCTCCCTGCAGTTATAATAATAAATACAGTAATTATAGACTTGTGATGAAAACATTCAGAATGCAGGTTTCTGAGTCTGACTGGCATGAGTTTGAAGCCTGCCTCAAAAAGCTACACTTCCTTCTGGAAATTACCTAACCTTGCTAAGGTTGTTTCCCTGTCTGTAAAATGGGCATAATTTGTTTACTTGTAGCCACTTTTTCCCAGAAAGAACTTAAAGTAGACTTTAGAATTTTTGTGAGAATTCAATGAGAGAACATATTTATAAAGTACTTCACAATTACCTCACTTACTCCTCATAAAACCCTAGGAAGCAGATGTCACTAGTATCCCCACTTAATAGACCAGTAAACAGAAGCATCAAAGGTACCAAACTCAACTCCAACAACCAGAATAAGCACAGGCTCTTTTCACAGTTGTACACTACTTTGCTGTTAAGAGAAGTATATAACATTTTAAAAATAAGAATAAAGTCAAGTACTCTTAAATACTACTGGCCTATGAATGTTCTGATATGCATATGCTAACACACAATGGGTTGGGGAAGAGAACAAAAATTCATTGGATTAGACAAAGGGGGATGAAGGGAAGGGATGGGAGGATGGGAATAGGAGACAGTAGAATGAATTTGAACATAACTTTCCTATGTTCATATATGAATACATGCCCAGTGTTTACTCCACATCGTATACATCCACAAGAATGGAAATATACACCATGTATGTATAATATGTCAAAATACGTTCTACTGTCATGTATAACCAAAAAGAATTTTAATTAAATTTTAAAATTATTTTTAAAACACCACTGGCCTAACATTTAAGCTGACAACCTTCCCTACAATGTACAATAAGCAATTGACATATCACAGGCTACAAAGAGTGTTATATACTGACAATGTTATAATAGAAGTCTTCCCACCACTGAAGCTTTCAGTTAGGCAAGTCAATTGCACCTCATACTTATTCCCAAAACTCAGCTCATTGCTACCACTCAGGATCATCCCAACACAGATGTACATTCAATATTTACTATAATTTGCAACTCTAGTGTACTTTAAAAAGTTTGAAATATGAAGCAGGAAGCATGTTCTCACAAATGGACCAGTTTGCTCTTTCAATATAATCACAAAGCTTTCTGCTTAAATTTTATTCTAATAGCTATAATTAAATCTAATTTTCTTAGGCAGGCATTTTGACTCCTTTGGTCTTAAAGCAGGCTCCTTCCCCTACCTTAATACCTACATGTTACCTCCAGTGCCCTAAGAAGGGGCCATCAGTACAATTCATAATCTGTGGAGGACTTCTTTGTAACAGATTTATTAACCATATGAGATATGCTAAAGACTGTGGAGCATGACAGTTAACTATCCCAACAGGCTTTATGAAATGAGAATGGAGTTGGGAATGGTATTAAGACCTTGGCCCTGTCAAGATCAGGAAGCACTATAGTCTGGCCCTTGGTCCTGTCTGCAGTTTCAGAAACTCAGGTTATCATTTCCTAGTAACTGGAATAAACAGGGAAGTGACTGGATGAAATTCAGAAAATTGCTTCATCCCAACCAAACTTATAAAAAATTGAGTTAAAGACCTTAATGCCAATATTTTCCTTCATAATGGGGCTCAACTGCACAAAGCACACTTACTCCAAGAGGAAGTCTATTCTGGCAGAAAGTCAGTTGAAAACACAAGTATCTTGGAGTCACAGGAAGCCTAATCAAAGTGTTATAGCTTTAAAGTTTGTTAGTCATTTGCTAACCTCAGTTTCCAAATGCTTTTAAAAAACACCTTACTCATGCCTTTCCTTATAAAAACCAGATGTATGTTCCTGAGTTGGACCCAAATGATTAGTAACATGCCAAAGAATTAATAGATGTCTGAAAGCAGAAGTTTAGGAAACTAACACATTTATGGTAGAGAAGGAGGCAGAAATTCCAAATAAAGAATGACGAGAGTAAAGGAAAAGCCAGCGGTGTCTCATAAGAGCCAAGAAAAGGGTTGAAAAGAGCTGATCCACTGAAAAGCAACGGAAATAGCAGAGTAGACAATAAGCACATTTTCTAGGTAGAAAATCAAGTGTGGTCTTTGGGAATAGTTTTTAATAGAGATGTGAGTAGACTTCTGATTACTAAGTCATCTACAACCAAGCAGTTCTTCAGTTAAGTTCATAGCACAAAGCAAGGTTTGTGATAGCATCTCAATTAACTGGCCTTTGTTTGAACAAACACTCTGCACCCTGCACCATTCACCTTTTGTTCCTGAGAGGCAGCACACTACAGCACAAAAAGTGCTGGCTGGGGTCCCAAGCATCGGGTCTTCAACTTCCTAGCAACTGTAGGCAGCCCCCTATTCTATAGCTTCAGAGGTTTTTGCATTTGCAATTCCCTCTGCCTGGAAATCCCACCCACCCTCCTACTGTGTTAGGTGAGCTTCCCTTACCTGTCTAAGCTCTGCCTAAATGACAAATTGTCATTTACTGAAATCTTCCCTGACCATTGTATCTGACACACGGTGCCACCTTCTCTAGCACTACACACCCCTTCCCTGCTACACACTCCTCCGTAACACCAATATCCATCTGACATGCTATCTTGCTTATCCATTTATTATAAATTCTCCCCTCGAGACTTGTAAGCTCCAATAAAAGCACATTTACTTTGTCCATTGTTCTGTGGTGTGCCTGGCAAAAAGCAGGTAAACATTGAAGGGATGAAAGAAATGCCAGTTCCAACCCCCAAAATACTGTGGCTGCACTGGAGAAGATTTTCTTCAGGAGGCTGAATTCTAACAGCATGATATCCAACTAGAACAGAGTGGAGGCAGAGGCCAGTATTGTTGGAAAGCCATCATTTTAATGAAAACTTCTTCACCTGTGCTGACTATACCCCACTCTCCAAGATGACTTCTTTCCTGTTGAAAGCCAGTACTTTACATGCCCCAAACCAACTCCCAAGTCCGGCTGTAACTGTCTTTCATGTTCACCAACTTCAGCTTTCACACTCCAGAGGGTAGAGCACTGTGTGGAGGGAGGGTAAAGAACTGACAGGGAAAAAGTGATGATGGCATGTCCCATGCTTAGTTCCTGGGTTTCTTAGGCTAATTCATAACCTCCAAAATAAGGTCAAGTAACACAACAGGCTTGCAGGTGCATCACCAGCTGTTTACAAAGTGTGTCTAGATAGCTGACGTGTGGCAGGTGTCCTCTGTACCTGTGGAAGGGCACTGCACAGCATTTTTTCCCACAGTGATAAATAAGCTGCAGGATGAGCTGTGCTAGAGCTGGCCAGTGAGTCACCCACTGCTATCGCTGTGGGGCCAGGCCTGCCTCATAGCCCTCCGTCTTCATGTCATTGAGCCCCAGTTCCTCATTTTGGTCAAAGGTGCGCTTATAACGTTCCACCTTCATCTCTGGATCTTCTTCAGGTGCATAAACATTCTGCAAGGCCAAGAACAGACAATCAGTGCCTGTGCAATCCCGCCATTCCTCCTCCCTCAGGGAGCTACCAACTCCTACTTCCCTAAGAACTTAATGCCCTCTAATCCCTAATGCCTAGGCTCTACTAGGGGGCAGCAACAGAACTCACAAGAGTTAGGAGTGGGACAGCCTGGCTCCAGGCAGGGAACAGTCCACCTAAAACATTTTACATCTGTACTTTCTTATGAAAAGTGTGGCAATGGTCTTAATCATGGAAAGAACTAGTAACAATTTTGTCTGAGCCTATTAAGTGCTCAATAAATATTAAAGTAGGGTTGAGGCCCTGGGTTCAATCCCCAGCAACACACACACACAAAGTTAAAATCTCCAGCAATCACCAGATTAATTCCTCAACTGGCTTAAAGCCTCTCCGTTTTCCCATTTTGGTCTCTGGATAGGACAACATTTCTCCTCACTCTACAATCAGACTTGCAGAATGAAAATTCCAGAGTTGGAGACAACAGCAAAACCAAGGATGAAAGGAGCCTAGGAGAACCTGTTTTCCTTTCTTCACATAAATTTAAAGCTCTTCCCACTTTCCCCCCTTTCTCCTTTATCTTCTTTCTTCTGCATAAGTTCCTTAAGGAAGAGCAGTCCATTTAGAATCCAGTCTTTTTAGTTTCTGGGGATATGATAAATACTCAAAGATCAGAAAATATATCTTCAACAAAAATCCAGGAAGGCCAAGTGCCCCACCG